TTTGATTGCAGATCCATCACGATTGGGAACTTGCACAGGATGAGCGGCTCAGCATTTGCATACTGAAATAGAAAAATCCACATAGATCATTTAGGTTTACCAACAAATGAAAACCATTTCTTTGTAATATCAATATCAACATTAGGCATTGACTAAAAGGGACAGAATCAAAGGTTAGAATAATAGAATAACAAAGTATGACACAGTAGATTACACACAGACACACTACTTTTACATTTGACCTTTTGTTGTGACTGTAAAAGCCAATGTTGCAAATCCTCAAAAAGGAATGCTTCATCAGCTGACACACAAAAATCGCTTTCTGGTATCCTTCGAGTTTCTGCAACCCTGCTGTTGGCCTTTAAAGGAAACATTTGACTTTAAATTTATGTTTTTTTTTTCAGGTAAAATAACTGACAGATTAAGGCTTAAGAGGGAGTAAAATGACTGTTTTAGGATATTTATACTAACATTGTACATATATTGGAGGACTAGCAGCAGATTTCTGACTCCAGAGTTGCGAGGTACAGGTTTAAAGGACAGGATCTCTGATAGGGCCTGCTTCCACACCTTAACGTATCGCACCATGGTGGAGGGTGACAGCGAGGACCACCAGTCACCTGAAGAAAAACAGAGAACAGATAAAAACTCCATGCCATGAAACTTTGAGCACTTTGTCACCTTCCAGATGAAAACGAGTATTGTGATATCATGTAGACAGCTGTGACAGTACCTAGGATCTTAAGACTTTCATTCGACAACCTTGCTACTGCACCAGCTACCGCCTCAGCGAGCTCTGTGCTCTGTAGCCATGTTTGTTTCTGGATTGCATGCAGAAGCTCATTGAGAAGAAGGTAGATTCTCAACCCCTCCACTCCAACTGGTTTCTGATCAAGGGAAGGGAGCAGGTGTAGCACAGCAGCCTCGATCTGTTTGAAGATGATTCCAAAAATCACTGAACAGCAGGTAGCTCCAGGTACATTGAATGTGGCTTTTGTTCAACGGTGTTCAGAGGAAAAATGCTAGGACTATCTAGTCATTCTTTAAAAGTCAGGAAGCTTATTCTGTTAACACAGACAAGAGCAGTGCCTGGTTAGGGAGAGTGTAACTAGTTACAATCTGAAGTTGTCTAAAGGGTTAGCTATAAGGATACGTTCACTAAATGTGTCATGTGTGTATGACTGATCAGAATGTGGCCATGCAGAACAAACTGAATATCGGTTGCAGTTT